CAGGCCCAGCTCCATGGCACAGAATCTTGGATCTCGGCGGCTCTGGAGTGCGGTCACGACACTGCCTTCCCCTCCGGAGACATCGGCCTACTGTCTTGTCTATCAAGGAGATAAAATTCTCCACCACCTTGACCCGCGACAGCCAACACACTACCGAGCGCACATAGCTTCAGCCGTCGGGGTTCAGACCGGGGACATCCGACTTTTTCCTGCCCGTCCGGCCCTGCAAGATGCCGCTCTCGATGGCCTCACTTGCCGGGCCGTTGTTGCAGTCTGTGAGGCTAGCCCACACATCCCCGAGCCGTGGGTCGGGGTCATCCTGGACCTGCGGGCCCTTGCATTAGGCTGGCACACTCTTTACGCCTTTAACAATAGGCTCTCCTGTGTCACTATAAAAGAAGACATGACTGGAGACATCCCCCCGGGATGGCAACTGTGCTTTTGGGGCCTCCCCGATGATGTAGACTTCCTGCAAGTACACTCCGGACAGGTCCTTACAGCCTATCTTGTGCACACTCCCGAGCCGGGGCGGCCCCTTGCCCCCGTACGGGCGCCGATCCTTGCCGGGTCAAATCAGAGCCCACAAGACTCTCAGGAGGATGGCGAGGCCCCTTCTGGCCCTCCACATCCACAAGCAGCCCAGGCCGACCCGGCCTCGAACCCCGACCATCGGACCAACGAGCCAGCTATCAATCCGCCTGACCCGTCCGATACCGCAGAGGCTTTACCGCCGTCTGCGGCCAATGATGCAGCATACCTCGACGGCAACTTTATCATCCTAGGGCAGGACTACACTCCTGAACTAGTTCGTACTAGACTTCGGGTCGGGCTTGATACGGCTGAAGCCCTCACCCTGATCAATGCAGCCAGGGACCCATTTCCCCGGCTCCGGCTACCCATTGTCCATCTCGCCAATCCTCAAACCCTAGCTGGTGTGGGAGTTTTATTGGCGCTCCCCCTCTGGAACCCCAGTGGTGCTGTCGTTATCCTGGACTTGACGAGGATTAGTGGAGTTGTGTTTGCCGTCCAACTTCCCCGGCGTGTGTGCCGGGAAGGTCTCCTCCGAGCTGCTGGCATCACACCGGGACCAGCTACTGCAGTTTACCTCCGGGATCTCCCGTGGCCACTACCGATTGGGGCCAACTATGACCTCATGCACGGAGACGTTGTTGCGTTTGCCCCTGCGGGGCTCCGACAATTTGTGACCACCACCTTCAGTGCGCTGCTCCGGTCACCTGAGGGATGGGGGACTGACTGGACACCCGATATCCCATATAGAGATACCATCTGGCTGATCGCCCACCAGGCAGTCTGGACATACGTCATCCCACCAGGCCGACGGCCACATTTTCGGGCTGATGTTGCGACTCTTCTCAACGCTGCGCCAGAGGACATATCCTTTGTCGCACCGGAGATTCCCATCAGGGATCATGCACATTTGGGCGTCCCCTCGCTCAACGTTCTTGCGGTCAGGGAACGATTTCGCGAGACCGCAGGGTTACAGGGACAGCATTCGGTTTGTTTTGTTGACTCCCGCCCTCTCTTATGTAACATTTCTTGGTTTCTGACCACTGGCGGTTCTCTTGATACTAATCGGCTGCTCGACCGCTTCATGCCCAGATGTCCAGCAGGTTTCCGACTGTTCAGGATCGACCCCGTGAGAGGGCCCACTGTTCTGCCCCCCACTATCCTGCTGCAACAGGGGGACACAATCACCCTCGCCTTCCTGCCAGCAGACGCTGTTCCAAATGGGTCTGCACCCCCGCCCGGACCTGGGGATAATCCTGACACCCGACGCGATGCAGGGGACGGCAGCCCCAGGTACCATGACCCCCCCATTCATGGGGCTCGCTTCACCCCAGGTACGGCTGAGGGAGCCATTTCTCCCACAACCAACACTGGGAGTTCCAGCGCCACACCTGGACGCACTAGAGATCGGAGACCCCCCATTGGGAGCTTGAGGGATAAGTGGAGTTTCGGTTTGATAGTTGCTGACGGCCGCCATGCGGGCCCCCGATTCCCCACCTCTGCAACTCGTTCCCCTATATGGTGTGGGAAACAAGACAGTTTAGACTGCAGCGGACGTTTTGGCCATGTACCGTTTGTACTTTGGTTACTTCTTCTTACTGCCGTCTTGACCACTCCTTGCCTGGCTTGCATCGCTCTTGCGCTCGCTTGCCTCCAACGCAGCACCCCATACGGCTACAAACGCCAGATTCTTGGAGTTTGCCTATGCCTGGTCTGGAGTGCCCGTGTCCAGACAGCTGCCGCTGCTCCCACCAGCAGTGCGTGCCTCATTGCTGATGAGACAGCCATAGGTCAGCATAACCCGCGTCATGCCAACAGCCTTGTTGGAGGGACTACTTCTCGACGGCCTGTACCGACCCCGGTTAGGATTGGTCGCCGTGATCCCTTTGGAAGCTTGACCGATGCCAGAAGCCCTACAGCGACTGAGTTGCTGCTACGGTCTTCTCCTGCTGCATCCTCTGAGACGCTGCACATCGATCTTCACCCCGGCACCTTACTTGAGGAGTCTGCCCGCACATCAGACCACTGGGCATTCCAGACAGTTACGCTCCTGGATACCTTACTTGACCACTCTCAGGTGCGACCCTCCGGTATTGGAGAGGCCGATCATGACAATACCGTCAGGGTCGTCCGACTGGCTCCACTCCTACCGTCCAGCATCACCCACAACTTGAGCCACGTCTCTGTTGATTGTGGGTGTCAGCTTGAAGACGCACTCCATCTGCTTCGCCCTGGGTGGGACCTTGAGAGGACCCTGCCTCCAGGAGTCCCGACCGAGTACTGCAATTGGGATTGTGTCCCACCTGTTGGCTCAGGGCTCCACCCTTACCAGGGCATTGTCGTCTTTACTGACGGTTCCTTTAATGGTCACACCAGCTCCTGGGCATTTGTCGCCTTTGGGATTCGGGATGATCGTACCCACTTCCTGGGATGGGCTGGGGCACGTACTACTATAGACGCACAGGCCCCCCTCTTTATAGGGGCGACAACGCATACAGCCCTCGTCGGTGAGCAATGTGCCCTTTTCTGGGCGCTGGCATGGATACTGCAGACACCAGCATACGTCTCTGTGCGGACCTATGCAGACTGTGAGGTCGCACTTCGTCAGGCCACTGGCCAGTACGGCTCCGCGTCCCCGGATGGTTTGCCGGGATTTTGCCGCCAGCTATGCCAGGCAGTCCAGGTTGCACACCCCGCCTTTGACCCTAACATTCACCATGTCAGATCACATCGTGGCCAGGCTGGTAATGAACTGGTTGATGTTCTTGCCAAGCAGGTTAACAGCGATGGTGCTACTGTTGGGTGCCCGACAGGCCGCTGCGAACCTTTCGCTCTCCTGTGTGCTTCATCCCGTCTCAAGTGGCTGTGGTTAGCCTACCAGACAGTAAGGGAACCAGAAGCCTGGCCATGCCATGCCGGCACAGGGTTCATTGATAAGGATCGCATCTCAACAGCCAGCGACCTCATTGTTGGTGACTCCCATGCCTTCTTCGGACTTCCTAAGGACTTTGACCAGCCGGTCCCTGAGACCTCGCTCAAGGCGAATCTTTGCATCTTCACTCTAAATGTCCAGACCTTAGCGGAGGACCACCCCCCAGCGGGACAACAGGCCGAAGAAGCTGTGTTCCAAGGGCGCGCTGCCTTCCTCAGAGAGCAGTTTGACCACTTTGGAGCTCACATAGTAGCGCTCCAGGAAACGCGCAGTGCCGGAGACAACACGTTTCTTTCCCGCACGCACGTAAGATTCTGCACCAGCAAGGACAAGCAGGGAAACTTCGGCGTTGAACTGTGGTTTGCAAGGAACCATGCGTTTGCCACCGCTAGCGGAAAGGAGGTGTTCTTTGGCCCTAATGATTTTGTTGTCTTAGAGTCGGCCCCCAGATGGCTCATGGTTAAATACACCCGGGGGAGCCTTAAGATCCTCTTTGCGGCAGTTCATGCACCTAGCGGGACTCACCCGCAGTGCGCACAATGGTGGCGAGATATTCGCCAAAAGCTGCACGGTCTCGCACATGGGACCTCCCTTGTCCTGTTGGGAGACTTCAATGCGCACTTCGACACATGTCTCCAAGGTCATATTGGAGACTTGGTCTTCCCGACCAAACACACTCCTCCCCCTCCTCTGCTGTGCCTCCTTCGCGAATTTGACCTTTGGATCCCGTCGACCTATAGCTTCTGCCACCCGGGACCCAGTGCTACATGGTGGCCTCCCGGAGGGGGACCAGGCGCCCGCCTGGACTACCTAGCAGTGCCGACACACTGGGGTGTCTTTGCCAACGCGTCCCAGGTCTTTTCTGCCCTAGAGTGGGGTCAAGCCCGGGACGACCATCATGCGCTCCGTACGTGGGTCTGCTTCGACGGCAGGAGTGGTTCCCGGCCACCAGCCCACCGACCCCGGTATGATCGAGAGGCCATGCTGACCCACGAAGGACGCGCTACCTTGCAGCGCATCTTTGAAGGGGCTCCGGTAGTGCCATGGGAGTGCAATGTGCACTCACACTACTCCCATCTACAAAACTACCTCTCCTCTGCACTGAGTGAGGCTTTCCCTTCGGTTAAAGGAGCATGCCGCTCCTCGCACTTCAGCCCACAGACCTGGCAACTGAGACAGCGCCGCGTGTGGCTCCGCCGACAGGTCGTCTTCTGGCGACGGCGGACGGCAGGACTCACACTACACAGCGCATGGCACACATGGACAAAGGGCTGCCGCCCCCTTGTTGGCCGCATTGTCGCCCTCTTACAGTACGGACGACCCCTTATTCTCCTTAGTCAGCATGTCCGAGCCCTAGCGGACACCAAGAAGGAGCTACGCAAGGCGGTGCGTGCGGATGTGAGTAGACGCATTTCTGACACCGCTGCTGACGCAGCCGTCCAACCTACCGGACATGTTGTCTCTCGCCTGCAATGCCTAATGGGGCCCTCTAAACGCCAGCACAGGACGGCACGCGGCCTCCCCAAGCTACAGCGGCCCGATGGCACTGCTGCCCACACCCCCACCGAAATTTACCTGGATTGATCACTTTTCGGGCATTGAGGGAGGTAAACGCCGCACCCCACAGGCCTTAGCGCGTGCCTGCATTGATACCCAGCAGCAACGGGACCTTGAGTGTCTGGCCATCACAGCAGAAGATGTGCCTACGCGATGTGATCTCGAAGCTGCATTTCGAGGCACGCAACTACATCGCGCGTTTGGCACCGATAGCATCCCTGCCGAAGCCGTGCATGCCGCCCCAGGCCCTGCCGCAAAAGCGCTCTACTCCTTGGTCCTTAAGTGTGCAATGAGAGTCGAAGAACCCCTTCACTGGAAGGGCGGCTCCTTGTACGCCGTGTGGAAAGGCAAGGCTGCGCCACAACTATGTTCCTCCCATCGAGGAATCCTGGTTTCCTCTGTCATAGGGAAGGCCTACCATAAAATCCTGCGCCAGAAAAATGTTCCTGCCTTAACCAATGCCGCCACGGCTTTTCAGCTTGGGGGCCTGCCCAAGAGGCCAGTTACCATGGCATCGCACGTTGTGCGAGTTTTCCAGCAGCTAGCCAAGGATCGTGGATGGTCATTAGGAATCATTTTCCTCGATCTTCGTGAAGCCTTTTATCGAATTATGAGGCCGCTAGTTGTGGGTTTTAGCGGGTCTGACACTGAAATAGCTGCCATTGTTAAGGAGGTGCATCTCCCCCCCGAGGTCATGCACGAACTCCATGCATATTTACAGTCTCAGACTCTCTTCGAGGCAGCTGGTGCCTCCCCATGGCTGTCGGCAGCAACCTCAGAAGCTCTGAGCCATACGTGGTTCCGCTTCGAGCACCACGAAACCGTTACAGAAACCGGTATCGGAACTCGGCCAGGCGATAACCTGGCCGATATCGTCTTTAGTTTTGTCTTCGCTAGGGTGTTGCATCAAGTGCGAGATCGTGTTGGCAAAGAGGTCGGTCTTACCACCGTTCCGTGGGGCGAGGATATGTTAGCCAATCCTTGGCACTCCCCCTCGTCCACCGGCAGCCAACTATCCATCCTCGACAGCACCTGGATGGATGACACTGCTCTCGTCCTTCACGCTAATGAGGCGACCGACCTCCCCCCCGAAGGTCAGCAAAACGTTAGGGATCCTCCTGGACGGCTGCCTCGGGCGGGCTCTTTTGCCAAACCTCGACCGTGGCAAAACAGAAGCGATCATAGCAGTCGTTGGGAGAGGATCCAAGCTCATTCGCACTCAGCTTTTCCGCAATGACCCTCCTACCCTCCCTGCCGCCAGCCGTCTCTGGCCAGGGGCTGCTGTTCAACTGGTTCCATGTTATCGCCATCTCGGCGGACTGCTCCATCATACCGGGGCACTTCTTCGCGAGCTGCGCAGCAGGGTTGCCATGGCATGGGGTGCCTTTAATAAGAGACGGAAGCGCATCTTTGCATCGCGCTTTGTCTCAGTCTCAGATAAGGTCGTTCTATTCGAGTCCCTTGTGCTTTCCATCTTACTGTATGGTGCTGGCACATGGCCGACCTTGAGCGATGCTGAAGAGAAATGCTTGTCTACCGCCTACTTCCAGATGGCATGCAGCTTGCTGAAACCAGCATACGATGTCATGCAAGCCCGAAGACTAGGGCCGCTCCGTGTCTACGCTCTCACTGGCCTCCCTACCATCGGTACACAGCTTCACCTCTCGCGCCTCAGGCACCTCGCTTCCTGTGTCACGGATCCGATACCGGAGTTATGGGCCCTCCTCCATGCGGAACAGACGTGGCTCTCTGCGGCTTGCTCATCTCTCCAATGGCTGGGAGAGCTCACCGAGGGAGACCGTGTCCCTTGTGACCCGTGCCGTCTCTGGCCCCGCTGGGCGGAGACCATTCAACGCAATCCTGGTCGTTGGAAGAGGCTCCTTTGCAAAGCCCAGCAGCGGGCTATTCGGCGGGAAGCCTGGCAGTCAGCGGGGACATACCACCAGGGACTCCTCGCCAGGCAGCTTAGGGCGGCCGGAGGAATTCTCCTTGAGCCCACACTCGATGCCTGGGATGCTCGTGAGTGTTGTGGACCGTGCCGACAGACCTTCCCCTGCCTTCAGGCCTGGTCTGTGCATGCATTTAAGACTCATGGTCGATGCACAGTTGGCCGAGGTGTCCTTAGTGGTCGTCAATGCCAAAAATGTCTTAGACACTTTGCGACCAATCTGAAATTGTGCAAACATCTGGCCTACAGCACCTCATGCCGTAAAAGCCTACAGGTTACAGGGCACCACACGCCGATCGAACCCGGACAAGGCAGTACCAAAGGAGAGGATGCCGGGCGATGTCAAACTCCCGTCCTCCAAGCCGCCGGGCCCACCCTCCCTTTGGATTCCACGGAATGGATTGATGAGATTGACCGCCCTGTTGCTGAAATTCTGGACTGCCTTCGATGGGTTGGTACTGATGTTGATCCTACAAATGAGCCCGCCATATGGGAACAGACCCGACTGGCATTTGCAAGTGTCTGCACCACTACACGGCGACTTCGCATCACGGCCCAGACCTTTCTCGAAACAGAACTCCCCCGCCTCCGACGGGATATTGCGACGCCCTTGCGGCGAGTGTTGGAATGGGTACCTACCGCTGACCTTGTTGAATGGATCGTCCCTGCGTCTGATCCTACCCCTGACTCGGTATGCACCTTCCGGGATGGAGCTCTTGTGCTTGATGCCCTTGAAGTCGCAGCTATCCGCCTACCGAGACCACTGCCCCCGTCTTGCGAGCAGACTACTGTCTCAGTCGGCCCTGATGATTGGTGTGTGACCCTGAATGACCAGAGAAGGGTCGTATTTCCCTTTTCGGAGTGCGTCGCCTCTTTGCAGCAGGGGGAGTCTCTCTCCTTCATGGATGGTCCTTTTGAGGATGTAGCCTTTGAATTGTGTCTCAGCGACTGGAATGGCTTCCGCGACTGCCCGCCGATCCAGGTGCCGCCGGCCACCTTTCATCGCCAACTACTCCTCATGACCCTCCAGGGTGATCTCGTCCGATTTGCCCTTCGACTTTGGGCCCGTGGAGTTCCCGCTTGCCTCCTCTTCCCCAATTGCTCTCGCCCCTTTCTCTCTCAATTGTTTGAGATCCCGAGCTTGAGCCTGCAGGAATCGAGTAGAGGGCACATTTTGTGCAATAGCGAGTGAGCCCGGCCCTTAGTCCTTGTTTCACTTAATTCGGTGCCCCCTATGGGCCGCGACCGCTTGGAGTCTAAGCCCCAAAAGCGTGAAAAGCGTGATAGGCACACACATACACATACCTATACCTATACCTATACATATTCATATTCATATTCATATACATATACATATACATATACATATATTTTATTATATATATAAATATAAATATATATATATATATATATATGATATTATACATATATATCTATAATGACAAAAGCGATGAACGTATTTGATCTACGTACCTCAACACTTGTCATGCTTACATTTGAACCCCCTTCAATGCGGAGCCTGGAGATCTTCAGAATCAAGATAGTTATCATGGCCAGCCCAGTATTGTTACTGTTGTTATTGTTGTTATTGCAATTGTAATTGTGGATTTTGCTACGGTAACTTTGTCTCTGTTTGACATGCCATTATCACTGGCATCATCTTCTTCTTCATGCCGTCCTTACTATCATTGATAGTCGACTTGCTCTTGGTTATTTTTAGTATTACAATTCCTCTGCACCTGCTGTTCACCCGAAACCGAACAACACCCTTGTACCCCCCTCCCCCCCGACGCTGTCGCCGCAGTTAGATGGTTAGCCGACTGCGCACATGCCTGATTTTCACGTCGGTGCGAATTCACACCAGCTGAGCGGGAGCATACTTGGGCGTTTCTGAAATACACAGGAGCTCCCCTGCTATGCTGCTTACAAAAAGGCCCAAGTCCTGCAAACCGAAGAACGACTTGTCCCAGCCTGTAGTTTGGTCGGACTGCGGATGGTCAGGGTGCTGCTCTAGTATGCCCTGAGTGTGTGAGCCCGTGCCCGTTTATACAGGGAGAGTTATGCGGCTCCTTGCCACCAAGTCCACTGTCAGCAAAGCTACTCGTCAAGCGACAGAAATAACTTACTGCTGGAGCTCGCCACATTGACCCTGAACCATATTGCTCAATGGTGAAGTTGTTAATGCGATGCGAAGGTCGTAGCCTGACAGGGTTTGTAGGGATTGTCCATCGCTGTCTGTGTCCCTACGCCCCCGCTTTACCATCCTAAAACCCAAACGCCCTCATGTTCCCTGCCGGCGGAACGCCAAGGTTTCATTACGGTTTGAGGGTGCGGGATTCTGGGTTTAGGATTGATGTAGGGCTTGACGACTCTAGGGTTAGTGCTTCCCGATGAACTGCTGGTGGCGGCACTCTGCAGACCTCTGATGGCTGTGTAAGTCCCAGGACGTCAGGTCGTTTCCGCGCTCGCGCTAGTGAGCGGCTGGGAAAAAGAGGAGGCCTGGAGCACACGCAGTCGGTTGTACACATGGGCTCTGGTGAGGTGAGTGTATGTAGGGCTCCTTTTGGGGAGACCAGTATTTGAGCTCAAGCTAGGGGAACAGAGCAGAAGAATTGCAGAAATGAGCATAACGATTCCAATGTTATCCCTCACCTTCCTAGTGAAAGTGACATATGGTCGGGATACTGAGTTATCAACAATATCCCTGATGGTCCTCTAGGTAGAGCTTTGGGGCATTTTATATTTTCCCTTATTGGGCTAAAGAGGATCTTATTTACTAATATTTTTCAAAGGCTTTAAAAGCCCCACCTAGTCCTTCTGTACCTGTACTCCAGTACAGCGTGAAACCTGGGGTCTGACAATTAACACTCCCCGTCTTTCCTCAGACCCGACATGCTGTCATCGAATCTCTACCTACCCAGAGAGCCCAATACCCCCTTAGCTGCGGGAATGTACCTTGGATTGGGGCTTCATGTTATGATTTTGGGCCATATTCATATTCTGCAAATAACGGACATTGGGCTCTTTGGGTACTGCAGGATGCTATAGGCCTGTGCCGATAGTGCCGATAGTGCAAGCTGAGGTCTTCTGAGAAGCCGAGACCCTAAACCCACTACGCGTCTCTAGGTAGGGCACTGACCAGATAGCATAGAAGTACTGAAGGAGTGCTCTATATTGGGGTTTAATTGAGTACATGGGATCTATAATCGAGTCGATGAAAATATCATGAAACATCTAGGGCTCCCATTTTGGTGTCCGAGTCCGCGCAGCCATTTCTAGCGCTTCACAACTCCAAGCTCTGGCTGTGCAGGAGGGCTCAGGTTTCCCTAGGCACTTAGGGCAAATTCAAACTCAGTTGAGGAGAAGTTATGGTATTAATTATAGTATTCTAGCATTATAGTATTATAGTCTTTCTGGTCATGAGATACGGAACAGCACGTAATTGAGATTTTTTTGGCCTCCTGGCTTTCAGGGAGAAGATATCAGCTGCACAATGATCAGAATGGTAAGAGCAAGCGTTTTAAGATGTAACCAACAGGGGTGGGCGATTATCCCAAGATCTACGTACAGCTGTAGGGGCGCTACTCCAGCAGCCATGAAGTTCTTTGATGGACGGCAAAACTTGACGGGGAACCCCAAGCGCATCTCGGCTCAATGATGTCACGATGACTCCGCGCGGTCGCGTCCAAGAACGAGAGCGATGCCAGATTGAGTATCGAGAAGACAGTAGTTGAGAACTAATGTTGTCTTATCCTCCTCACGATCACCGTCATCCTCATAGTCGTCGGCACCAACATCATATACACCAGCTTCGAAAAGTGACGCAACAGAGGCGATGGGACGACCAATGATCTTGTGCAACCAATCACACTTGTGGCCGAACCATTACAAAAGGTGTCGCTTCGACAGGACAGGAACCCACGATTAATAACAATGCTGAAAGCACTGGCGATTGGTGGCAAAGAGGAAAGCCGTAGTGGACGATGCAACAATCTTGATCAAAAAAAGACCACTCATCACAGCCATGACTATAGGAGGAGGACCTTCATGAGCCACCACCGTAGAAACCAGCACCAGTCGGGAAGTCATGCACGATGCTCTTTTTTGTAAGGCTACGGCCAGTAGCCGTGGCAGTAGTGGTAGTAATCAGGAGGAGCAGTAGCAGTAGTCGTAGGAGTAGAAGCAACGGCAGCAGGATTTCCAGTATCTGTAATACAAGTTTTCCACTATTTCGGATCTCTGACTGCAGTGCTACCGCTCGGGGTAGTTTCAAAACAATTGCCTTTGTTTTAAGTAAAAAGCTTGACCGATGTCAATTTCTATGTTCACACCTGATAAGACGTTGTAAACACTCCTTTTTCAGCTTCTTACCAAGACTAAGGCCCCACAACAAAGCCGCCTTCGGAAGATGGCAGGCTGCAGCACGGGTGTGGATGGAAGTTTCGGGCTTTCTCCACATGCGGGCTTTGCACAAAGGCGGGCAGTTTCAATAATCCTGACTTTTCAGTCGCGATGTTCACAGCTCCAGGATGCTCCAGGACTAGTTCAGGAATGCACGGAACGGCCAAGGTACGGCCGTCGCGGGAGATAGTTCCGTAGTCTTTTTGGGGAAGGGGAAGGAGCCGTTGCTGAATGGGCGAAGCTGTCGACGTTGAACATAATGCCCTGACATCGTGCTCCCGCCTGCATTCACCGTTTCGCACTTCACGGCAGCTCCGGCCGTTCTGTATGGCGAATGGGCAAGAGTGATCCGGGACCTTAGGCCCCCAACCCTGAACAGTAGGCACTTCGGTCAGTCCGAATGTGTGGGCCGGTCAATGCCTCTCTGACATTGTCATATTGGGGCCTTAAAAGTACAATAGGGTTCTGGGGCCCATCATACTATATAGGAGTTTCCGAAAGTTAGGGGTACCTCATTTTGGGGTCCTTGTAACAAGGATCCCGCTATTTAGGGTACTGTGGATCCCTCAGCACTGGTCTTGGCAATTCTCTAGGCCTGTAGCGGAGGCTTCGTCGAGTAGTTGCACTTGGGGCAGCAAGGGTCCGAACCATGAGCGCCAACGCGTAAGCCCAAAGCCCCGAAGCCTATGAACGAAAGAACCCTAAGCAACTTCCGTGAAGATGCAAACCCAGAACCGTTAACCTCAAACCAAGCAGCTTAATATTATGGTAGGAAACAGCATACCGGGGGAACATGTTATAGTATTTTTGGTCAACGTCTATCATAGTTCAAACATTGTAGTATAACATAGCACGCTGTAGTAAATGGCAGTATCTTCTGGTCCAGTACAGTAACTGCATTCTATACTTCGCCGAAAGAGAGTCAGATGACCCCATGTTGCCAGGCCGAGGTCTTCGGGGTACATGATCCTTTCTGAGAGCGCAGAGGCACCAAGGGCAGGACTTAGGGCTTAGGGCTCTTTGGTGGTTGGGGCGTTTAGGGTTGTGGGCAGGATTTAGGATTTGGGCTCCAGGGTTTGGGCGTTTAAGGGTTTAGGGCGGTTCATGGCCTAGGGTTTGCAGGGTTTAGGGTTTCAGACGTGGGGGGGAAACGGCTCAAGTTAGAGCATTCTGCACACGTTCTCTTGGCTCGGGCTTTGTACGGGGTCTCATTGTGGGCTCTCGCAAGCCGGAAAGACAAAGACACTAAAACCCTCTGAGGGCTCTTATTGTCGTCTCAAGCAGTGTCAGCGCAGAAAAGCCTAAGTGTAAACCAGCAGCAGTGGAACAGTTTAGCTGGATAGCGAGAGTAGCGGTCGTCGACGTCGTAGTCAGCATGTTTCAGCAAGGTGTTGGTGTACTGCAGTTGTTGCGGTGGTTGTTACGGTTGTTCTGGTCGTTGTGGTTGTTGTGGTTGTTGTTGTTTTGGTCTTGGGGGTGAAAACTAGCCCAAAACCCTTAAATCCGAAATCGTAAAGTCGTAAACGTACTCAAAAGCCGCTGCAGCAGCAACGGGTAATCGCGCGAGTCGCCGTGGTCAAAGTAAGGAAAATTACTGTAACAATGTCACAAGGACGGGCTTTTGGGTTTACGGCAAGATGAAACAGAATGTGTCGCACCACTTCGCAATAGAGAAGAAGGCATCAATATCAATGACAGCATTTGGGTCGTATCTAGTGGCCCAAAGCGTGAGGCAGAAGGACACACATGGCAGTATCTAGCAGCAGCTGCTTCAACAGAAAATACAAACCA